TCAATGTGGAACTAGTAGTTCTAGAGGTACAGTGCCTACTTCATGACCCTTGCACTGTCGATTTTGCACCTCTGGATGTATGCAAGGAGCTGATGGTCCATCTGGATGATGAACTCCTTCCCATAGAGGTAGTTCTAGAATTTCCAGATGGCAAATAGGATGGCCAAACACTCTAGTTCAATCACAGAATAGCTCTTCTCACTACTCAACTGCTTCTTACTGATGTAATTTACAGGAAACAGTCTGTCTACATGTTCTTGCAGAAATACTGCTCCAATTCCAACGTTTGATGCATCAGCTTGAATGATGAATGATTTGTTGAAGTCTGGCATTCTAAGGATTGGCAAACTTCCTAGCATGTTCTTCAACTTCTGGAATGTCATCTGCTGTGGTTGTTTCCACTTTACTTTGTTAGGTTGGCTTTTCTTGGTAAGGTCAGTCAGTGGTGCAACAACTTCAGCATAGTTTAGGTTGAACTTCATATAGTATCCTGCTAACCCCAGAAAAGATCTGACTTGCTGCTTGGTCGTCAGAGCTGGTGCATCTTTTATGCAGGTTAGGTTCTCCTCTTCCATGTTTATCTTTCAGACATCCATCTTTTGTCCAACAAAGTCCAGCAGAGAATAACCAATATAACACTTAGATGGTCTGATGGTCAGACCCACTGCCCTCACTTGGCCAAACAGCTCTCCGAGTTTCTTAGGTGGTCTTCCCATCTGGATGTGTGGGTCAGAATATCATCCACATAATGCTCAGTGTTTGTGGTTATTTGAAACAGCATCCTCATCATGTGGTTGAATGTTGGTGGTGAGTTGACTAATCCAAATGGCATCCTCTTGAACTGGTAGCATCCATCTAGTGTCACAAAGGCTGTCTTCTAGTTAGATTCTGTGCACATTGGAATGTGCCAATAACCTTTACTGAGGTCCATCTTGGTAAATAACTTGGCCCTGTTTAGTTTCACCATGAGATTCAGCTTCTGGAAATCTGTGCAGAAGTGGTTTGAGCCATCTCACTTCTTCATAATTGCCACTGATGACAAGTAGGCTGAATTCAAAGGCTCAATTATTCCAGCACCTAACATCACCTTGACTTCTTGCTTGATCACATATTTTGACACCCTTGTTTATGTCATCTCCACCCAATGGTCTTAGGTCTAATAGGTCTTCATCTTCTATGACCAAATCACCATTTCCTGATTCTGTGTCTATGACAACCACACCTGCAATATCCATCTGTAGGTAGTAGCTGCACCTGTTAGGTATTCTTCTCTTTCGAAGTAGCTCTTCAACAAATTGGCAGAGTAGATCATGGTCTTCCCATCCACTTTCACTTTATATATAGTCCATTATGTTGACCACTGCACTTTAAAAGGTCCTATCCACTGCAGGGTCAGTTTGTTTTTGTCTGTGGGTAAAAGAACTTAGACCTTTTGTCCAATCTTAAACATCGATCCTTTTCCTTCTTGTCATAGAAGTGCTTCTGACTGCCTTGAGCTCTATACAAACTTTCTTGAGTGAGTTGACAGTTTCCTCCAACACTTACTTGTATGTGTTCCTCACTTCTGACTCTTCTCCTGTCCACAGTTCTTTCAATATTTGCATCAGGTCTTGTACTGTTTTTCCCTCGCTTGTGGGACTTCTTGGTAAACAAATAATCCGGCTTACAGATACCTGTCCCAGTCACGTGGTCTTTCCTGGCACATTTTCTTTAGCATGCTCTCTAAAACTTCATTGACTTTCACACAAAGTCCATTACATCTGGGGTTGTAAGGAGCTGCCTATTTCTGATGACTCTGCACACCTCTTGCATCAGTTCGGAGGTAAAGTGGGTCCCTATGTCATTCAAGACTTCTTATGGAAAGCCTACTCTGCAGAACACTTCCAGGAGGGCTTCTGCTACTCTCTTCATCTATATCTTTGGCAGTGCTATAGCATCTGTGTAATGTGTTGCATAGTCGACTAGTGTCAGTACATACTGGTTGCTCTTGTCAGATACAGGTTCTAGTGGTCCAATCAGGTCTACAGCTACTCTTCTGAATGGTTCTTCTATGAGAGACATCTTACCGAGTGACACATTGACTACCTTCCCTCTAGGTACTATCCTTTGGCAGCTGTCACATGACCTGCAGAATCTGGTCATATCTTTAATGACCCCTGAACAATAGAAGTTGCAGGTGATTCTGTCTGCTGTCTTCTTTGCTCGTAAGTGCTCTTCCACAATCAACTCGTGAGTCAACTTCATCATTTGAGTCCAGTTTCTGTTGGTACTATAATCTGTTTAACTATTTCAGTATAACTGCCTTGATAAATCTGGTACAGCACTCACTTCTACTCCTCTATTCTGTAAGTCTCTTTCCTCTTGTTCTTGTGCTCAACTTCTTCCTGGGCACAGTCCCAAAGTTTCTGCATTGAAGGGTCTTTCTTCTGTGCTTCCTTCAGTTCTTGTAGACTTACATTCGAGATGTAACCCTTTGAGACTTTCAGGGGCTTGATGTCTTGCTTGCTTTGCATTTCTTGAGGTCTTGTGGTGACTGCAGATGCCTTATCAGTCTTCTTTCTGTCAGGTTCCTCCAAACTTCTACTGCCTGGTATATTTCCAATAACCGAGTCGTAGATGGATGCCTTCATATACATTGTCTCAAGGTCTCCTACATAGTATGGAGTGCACACCCATATTCTTGCTATAGGAAACTTTCTCACTGTCCCGTCAATCAGCACACACAAATCTACCTTGCCTGCCCTCTGGACATCAGATACTAGACTGTTTTTCACTGCTGCACCTAGTGTCTTGTAGGACTTTCACTTTCTTGTGTCTCACAAAGCCTTCACCTATTGGCATGTTGTGGTTTGTTGGCACCTCCTGATGTTTGTCACATGCTCTGATCACCACTGGCACTGTTGACCCATTTACTAGCTTGAGCTGACCATCAATCATGCACAGTTTAATCATGATGATAGCACTTCCTTCTTGTGGTGTATCTGATGAGTTATCTATATTCTGTTTCTTCTGGCAGCAGTGTCCATGGTGATAATCACTCTGGTCTTGTTTCTTGCCAGCACCATTTTTGTAGGTATCTCCAGCTGCTTTAAGTTGAGATTTCTGTTGTTGCTTGTTGGTGAAAGATTTGCACTCACTCGCAAAGTACCACATTTTATAACAAGCATAACATTTCTTACCCTTTTGTCTGTTAAGTTCTTGTCACTTTTGGTGGACTCTAGCTCCTGGTCAGCCACCACTGGTTTTGACTTAAATTGGTTATTCTTAGACTCGCCAGTTATACTTCCTCCATGGGCTTCCATATACTGTTTTGCCATCTTGATCATCTCGTCTAGGTCTTTTGGTGCTCTCTCCTTTAGGAACAGTGATATATATCAGTGGAGCATGTGATAATAAACTGTTCACTTATTAGTACATCTACCAGTCCTTCAAAACTATTTTCACACTTGGCCATGTCAGTCCACCTCATGAAGTATTGCCATAGATGTGCCACAAACTCAAATACAGTTTATCCAGTATTAGGTTCGACTTCTCAGAACTTCTGATGAAAACCTTCTTCAGTAACTTAATGGTGTTTCAGCAAGGCCACTTTTAACTTGTCATAGTCCATGGCATCTTCTGGCATTGTTCCAGGATACACTTATAGGCCTTTTCTTGTGAGAAGGGGGCTGAGACAGACTGCGTAGTCACCTTTGTCCCAGTTCAGACTTTGAGCGGATCTTTCATACCTCTGAAGGAAAGCATCCATGTTGTGTTTCTGTTCATCAAATTTGGGCAGCTTGGTCAGCTGGCCCTGATCCCATTGTCATTCTTGGGTTAATCTTCTTTCTTTTGGGAGGACTTGATGATCTCACTTTGTATTCTTATTCTCTATATTTCCTTTTCTTCCTTTCTTCTCTGCCTATACTCTCTCTAGCTCTTGTTGTTATTTGACAAACTCTCTTAGATTGCCATCTTCAAGCCCAAATCGCTCACCTCTATCTATCCACTTATCAAAGTCAGTCGACATGGTTATATAATATGATTGTGACCTGTAAAATATTTTTGCCACCACTACAGCTGTGCATATTAAGGCCTATTTCCTGCTGTTGTGTACATATACACTTCTGCCGTTTAACCCTGTTGATCCTCACTGGCTCGTTAATATCAGGTTTTGTAAGACCAGATTCTTTATA